TTCGTTAAACGTCCAGAAATCGGATACGTATGTCTTCTAGGATCCCGTAGGCATCTTTCCAGCAAGTTTCAATCATTTTCATTTTCATGCCAAAATTGAAAAAAAAGCAAGGGGTTAGCCTTACATTTTTATACAAATTTGGCCAAAAATTGACTTTTCTCCAAACAATTCAGACGTTTCGTTAAACGTCCAGAAATCGGATTGGTATGTGTTCTAGGATCCCGTAAGCATCTTTCCAGCAATTTTCAAGCATTTTCATTTTTTGGCCAAAATTGAAAAAAAGCAAGGGGTTAGCCTTACATTTTTATCAAAATTTGGCCAAAAATTAACTTTTCTCCAAACAATTCAGACATTTCGTTAAACGTCCAGAAATCGGATTGGTATGTGTTCTAGGATCCCGTAAGCATCTTTCCAGCAATTTTCAAGCATTTTCATTTTTTGGCCAAAATTGAAAAAAAAAGCAAGGGGTTAGCCTTACATTTTTTATCAAAATTTGGCCAAAAATTAACTTTTCTCCAAACAAATCAGACATTTCGTTAAACGTCCAGAAATCGGATTGGTATGTGTTCTAGGATCCCGTAAGCATCTTTCCAGCAAGTTTCAAGCATTTTCATTTTTTGGCCAAAATTGAAAAAAAAGCAAGGGGTTAGCCTTCATTTTTATCAAAATTTGGCCAAAAATTTACTCTTCTCCAAACACTTCAGATATTTCGTTAAACGTCCAGAAATCGGATTGGTATGTGTTCTAGGATCCCTAAAACATCTGTCCAGCAAGTTTAAAGCATTTTCATTTTTTGGCCAAAATTGAAAAAAAAGCAAGGGGTTAGCCTTACATTTTTATCAAAATTTGGCCAAAAATTAACTTTTCTCCAAACAATTCAGACATTTCGTTAAACGTCCAGAAATCGGATTGGTATGTGTTCTAGGATCCCGTAAGCATCTTTCCAGCAAGTTTCAAGCATTTTCATTTTTTGGCCAAAATTGAAAAAAAAGCAAGGTGTTAGCCTTACATTTTTATCAAAATTTGGCCAAAAATTAACTTTTCTCCAAACAAATCAGACATTTCGTTAAACGTCCAGAAATCGGATTGGTATGTGTTCTAGGATCCCGTAAGCATCTTTCCAGCAAGTTTCAAGCATTTATATTTTTTGCACGAAATTGAAAAAAAAGCAAGGGATTAGCCTTACATTTTTTTCAAAATTTTGCCAAAAATTGACTTTTCTCCAAACAATTAAGACATTTCGTTAAACGTCCAGAAATCGATTTGTATGTGTTCTAGGATCCCGTAAGCATCTTTCCAGCAAGTTTCAAGCATTTCATTTTTTGGCCAAAATTGAAAAAAAAGCAAGGGGTTAGCCTCACATTTTGATCAAAATTTGGCCAAAAATTAACTTTTCTCCAAACAATTGAGACATTTCGTTAGAGGTCCAGAAATCAGATTGGTATGTGTTCAAGAATCCCTAAGGCACCTTTCCAGCAAGTTTCAAGCATTTATATTTTTTGCACGAAATTGAAAAAAAAGCAAGGGATTAGCCTTACATTTTTTGCAAAATATGGCCAAAAATTGACTTTTCTCCAAACAATTAAGACATTTCGTTAAACGTCCAGAAATCGTTTTGTATGTGTTCTAGGATCCCGTAAGCATCTTTCCAGCAAGTTTCAAGCATTTTCATTTTTTGGCCAAAATTGAAAAAAAGCAAGGGGTTAGCCTTACATTTTGATCAAAATTTGGCCAAAAATTTACTTTTCTCAAAACAATTCAGACATTTCGTTAAATGTCCAGAAAACAGATTGGTATGTGTTCTAGGATCCCTAAGGCATCTTTCCAGCAAATTTAAAGCATTTTCATATTTTGGCCGAAATTGAAAAAAAAGCAAGGGGTTAGCCTTACTTTTGTACAAAATTTTGGCCAAAAATTAACTTTTCTCCAAACAATTAAGAAATTTCGTTAAACGTCCAGAAATCGGATACGTATGTCTTCTAGGATCCCGTAGGCATCTTTCCAGCAAGTTTCAATCATTTTCATTTTCATGCCAAAATTGAAAAAAAAGCAAGGGGTTAGCCTTACATTTTTATACAAATTTGGCCAAAAATTGACTTTTCTCCAAACAATTCAGACGTTTCGTTAAACGTCCAGAAATCGGATTGGTATGTGTTCTAGGATCCCGTAAGCATCTTTCCAGCAATTTTCAAGCATTTTCATTTTTTGGCCAAAATTGAAAAAAAGCAAGGGGTTAGCCTTACATTTTTATCAAAATTTGGCCAAAAATTAACTTTTCTCCAAACAATTCAGACATTTCGTTAAACGTCCAGAAATCGGATTGGTATGTGTTCTAGGATCCCGTAAGCATCTTTCCAGCAATTTTCAAGCATTTTCATTTTTTGGCCAAAATTGAAAAAAAAAGCAAGGGGTTAGCCTTACATTTTTTATCAAAATTTGGCCAAAAATTAACTTTTCTCCAAACAAATCAGACATTTCGTTAAACGTCCAGAAATCGGATTGGTATGTGTTCTAGGATCCCGTAAGCATCTTTCCAGCAAGTTTCAAGCATTTTCATTTTTTGGCCAAAATTGAAAAAAAAGCAAGGGGTTAGCCTTCATTTTTATCAAAATTTGGCCAAAAATTTACTCTTCTCCAAACACTTCAGATATTTCGTTAAACGTCCAGAAATCGGATTGGTATGTGTTCTAGGATCCCTAAAACATCTGTCCAGCAAGTTTAAAGCATTTTCATTTTTTGGCCAAAATTGAAAAAAAAGCAAGGGGTTAGCCTTACATTTTTATCAAAATTTGGCCAAAAATTAACTTTTCTCCAAACAATTCAGACATTTCGTTAAACGTCCAGAAATCGGATTGGTATGTGTTCTAGGATCCCGTAAGCATCTTTCCAGCAAGTTTCAAGCATTTTCATTTTTTGGCCAAAATTGAAAAAAAAGCAAGGTGTTAGCCTTACATTTTTATCAAAATTTGGCCAAAAATTAACTTTTCTCCAAACAAATCAGACATTTCGTTAAACGTCCAGAAATCGGATTGGTATGTGTTCTAGGATCCCGTAAGCATCTTTCCAGCAAGTTTCAAGCATTTTCATTTTTTGGCCAAAATTGAAAAAAAAGCAAGGGGTAAGCCTTGCATTTTTATCAAAATTTGGCCAAAAATAAACTTTTCCCCAAACAATTCAGACATTTCGTTAAACGTCCAGAAATCGGATTGGTATGTGTTCTAGGATCCCTAAGGCATCTTTCCAGCAAGTTTCAAGCATTTTCATTTTTTGGCCAAAATTGAAAAAAAAGCAAGGGGTAAGCCTTGCATTTTTATCAAAATTTGGCCAAAAATAAACTTTTCCCCAAACAATTCAGACATTTCGTTAAACGTCCAGAAATCGGATTGGTATGTGTTCTAGGATCCCTAAGGCATCTTTTCAGCAAGTTTCAAGCATTAACATTGAAAAAAAATTGACAAAATTGAAAAAAAGCAAGGGGTTAGCCTTACATTTTGATCAAAATTTGGCCAAAAATTGACTTTTCTCCAAAAAAATGCAGACTTCCTTTGGAAATAAGAGCCCCAAACCACCCTGTCTGTTACTCCCTATACCACTCCAAACCACCCACTTTTTTTATGGGCCCAACGGGGAATAATAAAAAAATGACATAGAAAATGTATCATTCTATTTTCATAAGTTATTTATTTCACGCAGCACTGTGTCTCGTACTGTGATATAAATAATATCACTTCACAAGTTTTGTTTTAGCCCTTAATAGGAAAAACACAAATAGAAAATATGGCAGAACTATTTACAACCACCTCGTTATTAAAAATGTCAAAAACCGTACATACACAAAATATTCATAATATATTTACAAACTGGAGCATAGTTTTTATAATAAACCTTTCTGCAAACTCTTGAAGAGACCTAAAACTTTCGTTGACCACATAACCCCTAGGAGTATATCATGGGTATACCAGCCAACAAAAGAAACGCAACTGGCTAAAAATAGCTTTCAAGATAATCTTGATTGCGATACAACAGTACTGCCCTTAACCCCATGCGCACGGGAAGCGGTCATGGCCGGGGCCGCTAATCCTCATTGGAATGCAGTTGCCAGCTGTGGTATGCCGTGGCACACGGCTAGTGGGTAGTTCCACAGCTGCTGCTTTTGTGCAGTCCCGCTACCACACAAAGGCTGTGCAGTCATGCAGGCCACTTGCTCTATGTGTGGAGGAATGTCCCCATTACACCCCATCCTTAAGGGGTTAAACCTCACAAAAACCAGCTGATCGGTGTTGTCACGCCTCAGTGACTCTTACTGAGAAGCCATTTTGCTGAAAAACAATTAACACCGTCTCCTGAAAGCCTGAATTCATCTTTACATTTGAGTAGGTTTTACAAAAAGGTTGTGCCTCTTTTGGGGGGGGGCTAATCATTAACTTCACATTCGTACTAAGAAGGGTTAACTGTGTACAAACCTATGGGGGTCTTGACCAATATTGACCCAAGTAATAAGCAGGCTGACAATGCATGTTTCCATGGGAGGATTAATGAATCTATACTTGACAATAAATATATTAAATGTAACACACCATCCCAAAACTTCACTGAATTCACCGAAAACAAAAACGTTCTTTGAAATAAGCAATCTCTAATTTCAAAGTTGAAGAAACAAATTGACTGGTGAGGAGTTTGAACCTGCAACCTTCGGATTTCCGTTCGAAGTTATTTCTGGTGAAATTACATCAAAGAAAAAAATGAACATTTCATAAATTTGATTTTACGTAACTAACAAGATTTCTGCTCGCAAACTTTTTACCGGTGATAAACATGATGTACTTGTGTGTACTAAACCAAAGCTTGGTTAATGAACAATCAATTAAAAAAAAGTCACTCTTGGGAATAGTGGGCTATAAATAAATAAAAACCAAAATTTGTACCGAAACTTTCTCTACAAAAAAGTTACTTCACACAGTATATTTACATAGTCTTTATGTACAATTTAATATTAAAAAAAAACATCCAAATGCTTTTAATACCTTGCAATCTTTATACAAATAGAAGAAATGCCAACATAAAAAAGTACATAAAACATTATTAATATTGAAATATTAAATTTATATACAGGCAATAATAATATATAAAAAAAATTGAAGACTTCATTTATGAGGCCCACTTGATTTACTGCACACGGCACTTATTTGAAGAAAAGGAAGATTTGTTGAAGTTTCATTATCTGATAATGAAACGTATCTCCAAGGAAACAGATGATGAAATATTGTTTAAATATGTTCTTAATCGTAAGGCATGTCTATATGAATATCAAAATTTAATATCAATGTGTATTTCGATTATTGCTAGCTTTCAGTCAGTTTTATAAAGCTTCAGAGAACGACAAACAAAACCAAAAATAACGAAATTACTTCAAACACTGTAACTTTTTGGCTTGGATATTAACAATCATATAATTAGTCATCAAAAAAGTTGTATTATTGATTGTTCAAAATGGGAGTATCTATCGAATTTCAACCAAAAATATATGTAGCAAAAAGCATTTTGAAAAAAAAAAAAAGAGTCGCACCACAATAATTACAAACTGCAATTCATAAAAAGTTTTTGGTAAAGGCATTTGAAAACTTGGTTTCCGTTCCATTATTGCAAATCAAAGACTAGTCGAACTAAAAATCATAAAAAAATTGGATGATACGAAAAATACTGAATGCATTGTCTAATAATTCATATCAATGTAATAAAAGTATTATTCTGGAAGGTTATTTTAAAGTGATTAAAAAAACTGTCAAATTTTCTTTTTTTTAATTTAATTTTAAGGCACCACAAGTTTGCTGGCAGGTTTTGAAATTTGGATGGAATTATGCTATATAAATCACAACGCTGCAGCTGTAGAATACACAAGGCATCAAACTGAGATACAAAAAAATTTGGACGAATTCCTTTAGTATATTAAAAAAAGACTTTTTAGGCACATGATCTTAAATCTGATACAAAATATTGACGATTTCTGGATGAATGATTCATGGCACTTTACGCAAACGATGAACAAGGCAAAGTTCGCAGAGGTCTAGGTAAACAAAAAAGTGTGATTTCTTACCAGAAAAAAATGAAGGTGATGCTGGTGTCTTCCATGGTAGAAAAGGAGACTCACATCTCGAAGCGATCGCGTCCAAGTTCCCCAACGTAGGAATAATTCTGAAAGACACTCACGAGAAGTGTTCCCGCTTTCAGGTTCTTTTCTCCGTCTCGTGTCTATCGTCCTCGGAGCCTACTTGCTCCTTGACAATGCTTGAAGGTGATGTTGGCATCTTCCCTTGTTGTGGAGGAGGAGATATGCTTCTTGAGAGCAACCATATCCCCGCTCCGTAAGACACTCACGAGAAGTGTTCCCGCTTTCGGGTCCTCTTCTCTGTCTCGTGTCTATCGTCCTCGGAGCCTACTTGCTCCTTGAAGGTGATGTTGGCGTCTTCCAAGGTGGAGGAGGAGATACACGTCTCAAAGCAATCGCGTCCTTGCTCCCTACCGCAGGAATAACTTCTGAAAGACACTCACAAGAAGTGTTCCCACTTTCGGGGGGTCCTCTTCTCCGTCTCGCGTGTATCATCCTCGGGGCCTACTTGCTCCTTGAAGGGGATGTTGGCATCTTCCAAGGTGGAGGAGATACGCGTATCAAAGCAATCGCGTCCTTGCTCCCTGGAGGAATTGATTCTGAAAGACACTCACGAGAAGTGTTCCCGCTTTCGGGTCCTCTTCTCCGTCTCGTGTCTATCGTCCTCGGAGCCTACTTGCTCCTTGAAGGTGATGTTGGCGTCTTCCATGGTGGAGGATGAGATACGCGTCTCGAAGCGGTCGCGTCCTCTCTCTCGCCTCTTCCGGATGAAGCTATGCGTCAGGAGCTGCGTGGCTGTCGGTCTCTCATTCTGTTCTCTAAATATCAAAACAAGAACAAAATTGTTCCCTTTTATAGCAGGGGCTAATTTCATAGAGCTCCAAAAGATAAAATATCAGCTTAGAAAATATATTTTGCTCAGCAAATATTTGCTGGGAACCAGACACAAACAATGTGCATTACATGATGGGTTGGCTGGTACCCTGTCTGTTTTAAGCAAATTATTTTCTGTGCTGAGCAATTTATAACAATGAGTTTATTTACTGAAGAATCAACAAAACCATAGAGTGCTCAAGCAGTTTTGGGCGCTACAGTGAGTATTATATAACCGACATGTATATCCTTGTTATTTAATTGGTGGAACTCATATCATGTGACATTCGTTATTGCTCCCATTCACGCCGAGGCTCAAAAAGTCCCATTCGCTCATGGTGAATGGGATTTACTATTCAACAGTTAGGATCATCCTTGTTCCATGACGCAGTATTTGTGTGCAAATACATGCTGGTGTGAGCGTTGAGCGTTGCGCGTAGCGCGTATTGTTCCAAAGAGCCAGTAGCTACAGAGTTGGGTTCAAACATTTCGTGAAGGGGTGGTTTGGAAGAGAGAAATGCATTTCCCACCAATTTTGTATTGAAATAGAAGTTCATTTTAACTGTAAATCAAATGAATATGCCAGTTAAATGTATATGAAACAAATATTGAGTGGCTTTAAATTGTGAAATGGGAGGAATATTATCGCTTGGTAAAATTTGGACTTTTCCGTTTTACTCGGCTTTGCCTCGTGAAATAATGCTACTGTGACAAAAGGGTTAAGACTTTGACCCCTTTTAGGACTGACCTTGTCAAGCAGGCGTTGACAAACTCTCGGGCATAGCAGGAGAATCGCTCCGGCAGTTGAGGGACCGGTCCTCCGGAGCCGATGGCAAAGATGGCCGACATGGGCGGCATCTCAGACCACGGAGGCTTCCTGGTGGCCATCTCAAACACTGTGCAGCCGATACTCCTAGGGAAATGGGTTGGAAGCAATCACAAGTCAGTCACAAGACATCATAGGTCAATCACAAGTCATCACAAGTTATCACGTTCCATCGCAAGTCAATCACAAGATGTAAGTTGTCACAAGTCAGTCACAAGACATCGTAGGTCAATCACGTCATCGCGAGTCAATCGTATGCCATCAGAGTCAACACAAATCATCACAAGTCAATCACAAGTCAATCACTAGTCATCACAAGTCAATCACAAGTCAATCACAAGCCAATCACAAGTCAATCACAAGTCATCACAAGTCATCACAAAATTACTTCCACGGGTCATTCATAAGTAATTACAAGTTCTTATCAACTATTACAACAATTCATCACAACTCACTCACAACTCACTCACAAGTCAACCAAAAGTCATCGATATTACTTGTTTGTCCATCGAAAGTCATTCACAACGAATTACAAGTCATAATAAGTCATCACAAGTTATCACATTTCCCGACAAGTCGATCTCAAGAAATCGAAAGTGATAACAATTCATTTATAAGTCCAATATCCAATTAAAAAAAAAAACCTTTCTGCTGTCTTACTACTCTCATACTACCCAACACTCACTCAGCATTCGCTCACTCACTCAAGACTCGCCATATATCGGATTTCTTGCCGACTTCCTGTGCCATCCCATCGGGTAACTCACTACCCAACACTCACTGATCATGTCGCCCACTCACTCAAGACTCGCCATACATTACATTTCTTCAGTGCCCGGTTTCCACGATAACTTCAATCAGCTAACTCACTACCCAACTCTCAACGATCATTTTGCTCACTCAGTCAAGACTCACCATATATCGGATTTCTTGCTGTGCCTGATTTGCATGACAACTTCCTGTGCCATCCAATCGGATAACTCACTACCCAACTCTCAACGATCATTTCGCTCACTCAGTCAAGACTCACCATATATCGGATTTCTTGCCGTGCCTGATTTGCACGACAACTTCCTGTGCCATCCAATCTGATAACTCACTACCCAACTCTCAACGATCGTTTCGCTCAGTCACTCAAGACTCACCTTATATCGGATTTCTTGCCGTGCCTGATTTGCATGACGACTTCCTGTGCCATCCAATCTGATAACTCACTACCCAACTCTCAACGATCATTTCGGCCACTCGGTCAAGACTCACCATATATCGGATTTCTTGCCGTGCCCGGTCTCCATGACGACTTCCGGTGCCATCCAATCTGATAACTCACTACCCAACTCTCAACGATCATTTCGCTCACTTAGTCAAGACTCACCATAATCGGATTTCTTGCCATGCCTGCTTTGCATGACAACTTCCTGTGCCATCCAATCTGATAACTCACTACCCAACTCTCAACGATCATTTCGCTCAGTCACTCAAGACTCACCATATATCAGATTTCTTGCCGTGCCCAGTCTCCATGATCACTTCCGGTGCCATCCAGTATGGCGTACCCCTCATGGATTTCAGGAGGTTCTGGCTCTGGCTGATGTTGATGCAGAGCCTCTTGGCGCAGCCGAAGTCGATCAGCTTGATGACGCCGTTGGACATGAGCATGATGTTGGCTCCTTTGATGTCTCTGAAATATTCAGGAAAATGATTGAAGTCAGTGACTGTGATCGTCAGTCAGTCGGTCATTCGGTCAGTCGGTCAGTCTGTGACTCAGTCTTGGTCTTATGAATCATATGAACAATATGGTACATTCACTTCACAGAAATGTTGTTGTCGGTACAACCAAGCTTACATTTCATGCAAAGCATCATCGGAAGAACTACAGGGTGAGTCAAAAAAAGCGGAACCCAAACCCCAAAATTATATTTCACAATTTATTGTGTATTCTGATTGTTTGGAACAACACAGAAAATGACACTGAATACTCGTTTCAACAACTGTCAACAACTGTAGTACACAATATCTTTATTAACAACCCTGGTTAGGCAAATAATATAATTTTATATAAAACCACTTTCTTTTTAAAAGACGGGCCTTTAAAGGACTTTGATAATTTTTTTTTAACTTTTGAACTGAGGTTTAATTGCTGGTGATGTTTGAAAACAATAGATTCTTGAAATTGCATTTTTTGGACGAAAGAGATTTTAGGGTCATTGTGTTTAAATGGTGATATTCTTTGAATGGATTGAGCAATTTCAGTAACTGTTTCATCTTAATGTAGCTTATGAAATTGCTTTCCAGTCATTATTATTTTTGGTGCCATAGATTTTTAAAATATGAAATATAGTGTTTGGGGTTTAAAAAAAAGTATATATCGAAGCACAGACATTACTTGTTTTGCATAAAAATGCGGCTTTCGAAAAAGTAAGACAATGTCGACCTCTTGTGACTAGTTTTTGGCACGTAAATGTGGTAAGCACAGAAATTGTGGGCTTAGAAAAAAAACAATCGCCGGCCAAAATGCCATGCTTTTGTCTATTGCAAGTCACTGGTTTCAAGCTAATTCACGCTTAGCACGTAAATCTGCCAAGCAATGTTTAAGCAAAAAGCCAGTTCGGTATTTCAATGAACCGAGGTCATTCGGGATCAACATAGCTGACATGAAGTCACGCGATGTCGCGCGCACGCCCATTCTGCTGGTAATTTACACGCAAGCGTCGTGCGCCCGCATTCACGCGCCTTCGAAACATTCGACTATCCCGAATGACCAGTGACCTATATCATTGTGCACATTCGCAGTTGAAATACCGAACTGGATTTTTCCGAAGGGCTTGACTTATCACATAAGACGATTCACGCTCAGCAAAATTTTGTATGCTTAGGCGAGCCATCAGATAACAGACCGTTCGGGTACCGGGTCCGGTATGCTAATTTCTTTCACCCCAATCGGTACGAAGCCAGAAGGCGCCCGGTCACTGAAGCGCGTGACGCCCCAATCGGTCCAAACTGGTGACTCAGGGTTTCACAATAGGCAACATAAATTGAAGTCTAGCCATTGTTGGGAGGATTATTCGGCCCGCTGGGATTACCAGCGGCAACTTCTATGAAGCTCATCACAGTCATTGTTGCCTACCGGAGGATTAGCGCGTCGCAAATTGGTTCCTTTGTGTTGAGCCAGAGCCATGGTGCAGAAGCCTGGTGGAGTTAATCCAGGCCGATCGGTTCCATGCAAGGTCCCAATCCCTTCCAACATACTGGGCGGGCTCAACCCCGAACGGTCTGGGGAGGGATTCTAATTTGAGGGCTCGCCTTAGCAATTCCCTCTGATCTCACCTGTGGATGACGTTCTTGGCATGCAGGTACTCCGTCCCTTGCAGGATCTGTTTGGTGTAGCGACAGAAGACGGGCTCCTCCAAGGCCCCGAAGCGTGCCAGGAGGGAGGCGATCGACCCACCGGGGATGTACTGCATGAAGATGTTGACCGTGCTGCCTTCAAGGGAGACGCCGAGAAACCTAGACGGTTGAGAAGGAAAAACAGAAAATGAATTGAGAAACTTTCAGGCTTTAATCATATGGACATCATATCAGTGTTCTCCAACTTTGAAATTAAAGGTTGGTGCTCCGTCAAAAAGGCAGGGGGGGGGGAGCGCTACATGCTAGGGGCGCTATTTGCAGACATACATGTACATTTCTTTATGCTAGGGGGCACTATTTGCAGATGAACATGTAATTTACGTACGGATAACCGCTTTTAGGCCATTTCTAACAGTTAAGTACAATACTGGCTGAGCATCATTTGTTCCCTTAACACATCAGTGACCAGGGACTCTGAGGCAGTTTGGCCTTGAGACTTTTGACCTGATGGATTGCTACAGTGGGCAGGCTTGTCATTTTGACAAGTGTTGCGTGTTACTGCTTTTGGCAGAGTTTCTGGCCAAAATATACCCTGGAGGGTAAGGGTAGTCTCTTGTTTGTCTTTTATATTATTTAAAAAAAAAAAAATCAAAGCATGGCGGCGACTTTTGAAGCATGGGGGGTGCCTCCGAAAGCATGGGGGGTGCCTCCGAAAGCATGGCTGGGCACCAGGGTATTTTTACAGGTTGGAGAACACTGCAGATGGATTACACTCGCCTGTCTCTACTTTTCTGTTACTCTAAGCACCCGAACAAAATGTTTTGAGGGACTTGTCATTGACTTGTGGCGAGCCTGTGATTTGACTTGTGACATGCTTTGGATTTGACTTGTGATTTGACTTGACAGGCTTGTGATTTGAATTGTGATGTGTTTGTGATCTGACTTGTGATCTGACTTGACAGGCTTGTGATTTGAATTGTGATGTGTTTGGGATCTGACTTGTGATCTGACTTGACAGGCTTGTGATTTGAATTGTGATGTGTTTGTGATCTGACTTGTGATCTGACTTGACAGGCTTGTGATTTGAATTGTGATGTGTTTGTGATCTGACTTGTGATCTGACTTGACAGGCTTGTGATTTGACTTGTGATGTGTTTGGGATTTGACTTATGATCTGACTTGACAGGCTTGTGATTTGAATTGTGATGTGTTTGGGATCTGACTTGTGATCTGACTTGACAGGCTTGTGATTTGAATTGTGATGTGTTTGGGATCTGACTTGTGATCTGACTTGACAGGCTTGTGATTTGAATTGTGATGTGTTTGGGATCTGACTTGTGATCTGACTTGACAGGCTTGTGATTTGAATTGTGATGTGTTTGGGATCTGACTTGTGATCTGACTTGTGATTGACTCTTTCCTCAAGCTTCCCCCCAGATGCTCACCCTACAATATTCCGATGTCTGAGTGTCTTCAGTAGCTCCACCTCCTCTTGTAGTTTCTCATACTGCTGTCTGGATTTATGCTTGTTGTCCTTGTCGCTCAGCTCCACCTGCTTGACGGCAATCAGCTGGCCGGTGTTGGTCAAGCCGCAATACACCTGATCAGGAAAAACAATTAGTTCCTTTTTAGGAAGTGTTGTGAAATGACTGATCCGTTGTGTTTCCACCAATCACAGCCATGAGTTAAATGTCTGAAATATTGTGAGGCAGTGTGGCGTAGTGGTTAGGGTTCGTGACTCATGATCAGAAGGTCAGGGGTTCAAATTCAGCTGCTAATTGTATGTTGTGTCCTTAGGCAAGCCACTTTATCTAAACTTGCCTCTCCAGGCATGACAACGAATTTCAATGAAAAAAAACCAGAAAACTTGTGCAAAAACAGAAAAAAGATGTGAAATCAGGCAAAAACCCCCAATAAAACAGACTCAAAATATATTTTTTAAAAAGCGCCAAAATTTGGGCAAAAAAAACAACAAAGGAATTCCTGTTCAAACAGGAAAATTCTCATGCCTGCCCTCTCCACCCAGGAGTATAAATGGGTACCAGCATTTAACTGAGATGTAACCAGCGATGGACTAGCATCCCATTTAGGGAGAAATCAGCTGTTAAGTGCGTTGTTATTAGTTTAGAAACAGGAGATAACTTCTTTGGAATTGCCCTTTTACAAATGTATCCAATGTCTTACCACTCCAAAGGCACCCCTGCCGAGGATGTTGCCCTTCTTCCAATGGAGCAACCCTCCCTCTGATTCGGACAAGTTGGTGCTTGAGCTGTGACTTCGTTCGCTGCTCAGACCGCTGGACTGAGTGTTCTGCAGCTGAAAAGCAAAACAATCACACAGTAAGCAGAAAATCAAGCCCAAGTTGACGAAACTTGGCACTAGATTTCGGATCCAGGTTCATAGAATACAGGTTAAGGGAGCGTCTGTCGGTAATTCCGCAGGTCCTGGGTTCGAGTCCAGCCTGGGGTCATGGTGTGTGTGTCCTTGGGCAAGGCACTTTGTCGCTCATTGCTGCTACCCACCCAGGAGTAAATGGGTACCTGTGAGGGCAGAGATGGTTATTGTGGTTGATTTAAGCTGCTTTGCGCTGAAATGGCAGCATCGTGCTCTATACTCCCTAGGGAGCTGAGATTGTCTTTGGAATGTTTCATTGGCATGACAATCAAAGGTAACAATAATGTAAAGTGCTTTGATTTTCAGTTGCAAGCGCTTAAAGGGAGAAATACCTATAATTAAATGCCTACTGGCAGTATGTCTTAAAGGGAATATACAACATTTGCAAACATCGAAAAATAAGTTTCCCAAGTTTTTACGAAATAATACTTAATAGGATGATGGTAAATGACTGTCTAAAGCATCCTGTAAAATTAAGGCACCGGATGTGAACTCATTTAAAAAAAAAAATGATATTTTTGTAAAAAATTTCCAGCGGTGGTCGGCTGACCACCGTTGGAAAAACCTAACTATTTTTCAACTACTGCTCCAAATTTACCATTAATTCAGTCCAAATTTTGTTTGCTATTGGTTACATGTTCATGAACGGGTGCAGGTCAGCTAGACCGGTACCCTTACCTTACAAATTTTCGGCATCTGTTAAATTGATCCATTTTATATTTAGTGGAGTCGAGGAACCAGACTACTTGAACAGTTTTGTATTTCTTGGTTTTTCCAGCATTTTCGAGCACAAAACTTCATACATGTCAGTGTAACAATATTTGATCTATTATACTAACCCCTCTAATATTTTGTTTCTGAAAATTACAACAAAAGCCAATGATGTATATTCCCTTTAAGAATCTCTTTAACATGAAACTCCAAATAGGTACCTCACTACTCATAGCTGAGAAAGTCCTGGTCAGGATGTCACTCGCCTCTGACGCTGCCAGGCTCTGGTTCAACCAATCAGAGGCCTCGGCTCCAAACCCGACGGACTCTGCGTCGCCCTCTCTGGACTGCGGTTGGAGAGTCGGCGACGGGAAGTCAAAATGAACGTCCCCGGTCTGCGACAGGACCGTGTTCAGCTCCTGCATGGCGTTCAAGGACATGTGCTGCACGTGCTCGGTCAAGAGCTGCTCCTTGTCATGTACGATCGCGTCATCGTCGTCACCATCGTCATTTTCGGCGACATCGTTGAGGAAGACTTCAGAACCCTCAGAGTAGTTGCTGGGCTTGCGTTGAGATGGCAGGTTACTTGACAGATGCTTGTTAGATGCCTCTTCCGAACTACTCTTCTTGGATCTGCCAAGAGAAACGCACACAAATAAATTCCTCGTTGGGAAGGCGGGAAGAGTGGAGAGCTGTTCAGATTACGAAGTAAAACGTAAGTACCCGAGAAAAATAATTACATGTACGTGCCATTCGCCAAGCATATGGGTCGCAGCGACACGGTTATCGACACAGGATGTGAAGTCCTGGCTAAGTTGGATACGGCATAGGACCCAGCAGATCACTGGATGGGGAGCCAACCGAGAACCAACATTGTCAAGTTTGATCATCAATTTGGTTGAAAAAAAAAGTGACTGAAACGGAAATTGCCAAAAAAATCAGCTTTGGAATCCCATAAAATCTTAACACCAAAAAGTGAAAAAGATTCATTTCTTAACCCAATCTATCTTTTACCGACTGGAAAAACAAAATTGAAGTATGACTAGCTATAGTAAAAGGCGGCAACACGCCAGGTAGCCTACAAGGGTCAAGATGTGATGATATGAAATGAACTCACTTGTGTTGCTCGTGATGATGCTTTGGACTGATGACATCCGGCATCGAATTCCCTCTCCTTCGAGTTGGTGACTCCTTGGACGATGATGGCGGGCTGAAGTTCTTATCAGGAAGTCGGCTCTTCAAGGGCGATATCATGTCCTGCACCTGGCTACGTTCTCTCCAATTTGACCTCAACTGTGACCCATGGTCCTCGAACCTTTGAGCCTCCAAGAAGGTTGATTCCTGGTTCGCAGTTGCGGACTCCTCCTTCCAGGAGTTCTTGACCGGAACGACATTTCTGATGTCTTCCTGCTTCTCCGCTGCATCCTGTTTGTTTTTGGAGACCTGAGCAGGAGGCTCGCTGTGTCTTCTTTTAATGCTCCCCCGAGGGACCCGTGTCAGCTCTGAGATGTTGGTGTTTATCTTGGATGGCAGAGGGGGTTTGTGAGATACCTTGTTAGCAGAGGTGGTGTCACGCTCTCCGTTTGGTTCCACAGGAGGCTCGGGAAGTGCACTCCAGTCTTCGGCATTCCCCATCTTTGATCTCTCCTTAGCAAGCTCTGTTCTTAACATCGTACTTCTTGGCGAGGCGTTTGGCGAGGTCGAATCCTGTAATCTGAGCACTCGGAGGAAGTCTGGGTTGGTTTCATATGAGGATACATCTTCGCCGTCTATGTCACCCATGCCTCGTTCTGCCAGGCTGTTTGGTGTCCCTGAGGTGATTATTCTTGGAGTATCGGTCTGACTTCCCCCATCCTCTCCATAGTCGACTCCGCCTGGATAAGTTTCTCTCTTTTCTGCTGATGCAGCCAACTCTGTGTCAGACTTTGATTCCTCTGTGTTGCCCAGTGAAAGTGGCTTCAGGTTGATAGATAATTGATGAGCATTTGTGGGGTCCATTCCTGGCTCAGTATTCTCCAAGATGTTGCAAGGTTCTTCTGGATGGTCGCTTCCTTCTATTGCCAGCCTTTCAACGCTCCCTTTCTCAAAAGTGAACTTCTTTGAGCTGCTTCCTTGGCTCTGCTGATCAGTCTCGACGGAGCTGTTGCTTTTGAGGGAGTCTCCGAACTCTTTGATTGCTCCCATTGTGTCCGGGATGAAGAAGGGCGTTCCCACCTCTAACGGACTCATGATGTTTGCGATGTTGTTAATGACGGCAGGACTGAGAGAATGAATCTTGCACAGCTCGTTCAGCATGAGAGTGTTGTGGGGACTGAGTTTGGGACTTCCTTCAGGGGCATCCTCCTCTGAGGATGAATCGCAGGAGCTATCCAGAGCAGACCGATTGTGGATGATGACGTCCGATGTCTCGTTCTTCTCCGTCTGGATATGCCAGCCCTGACCAGTGATAAACGCTTTAGTGGTAGAGTCGGCCTCACTCAGCAAGTGAAGCTTGCCAGATCTGAGACTGGTTTTTGACTTGGATCTCAGCGGTCTCAATTTTCCCTTCCTCTGCATGCTGATGGCATCTGGCTCTTGCTTCTTTTTAGCCTTTTGTCGCGACTTCCCGCCACTTCCAGGCCGCAACTTCCCACCACTTCCAGGCCTACCGGCTTTTCCTTTCTGCGTGTTCTGACCCATGATGGCGATCTTCCGGAGGCTGCCTTTGACTGAGGGTCTTTTTAGAGGCTCCTTGGTGCTTGCGATCCTTCGCCGCGTCTTGACGAGCGTACTGGACTTGGCAGGATTCAGGCAGCTGCTTGTGGATGAGATCTTCTCTCTCGGTTTCCAAGGAATTGGCGTGGGCCCAGATTGCAGCTGCCCCATATGCATGTATTCCATGATGTCTTGGATGACTGGCGTGTGCTCTTTGATGATTCTGGGGTCTCGTGGAATCTCCTGTGAAGAATCACTTCGCGGCGACACTTCGGGAGACTTGAACTTATTCCAGTGGAACTTTGTAGCAGCGGGATTCGGGAGTTTAGGACTGATGGGGCTGAGAGATTTCTTGGCACTCCCAGCTTCTTCTTTTTCTTCAGATCTGTCAACGAGAGGAATTTCTCTTCTCTTTCCAGGCATTAGGAGCTCCTGACCGTTTAACTTAGCATCGGAAACAGATTTCCCAACAGCCCTGAGTGCAGATTTAGACACACCTCCCATTTTGCTTAAAGAGTCCTTCAGATCTTTCTTGGGTTGTGTCTTCACAGCCGGGATGATTCGTCCTCCAGTCTTCCTAACAACCTTTCTTTGCTTCAATATTTTAGCCTCTTTTAAAATATCCACTTCTTTGATATGGACCTTGACAGTTTCTTCGGATGGTGCAGTCTCAATCACACCGACTTTCTCCTCTCCCTTTTCTTCGTCTGAGACGAAGACAACCGCCTCATAGACTTCTTCGATGCTCTCCACTGAATCCGACTTACTTCCTGTCGACTTTGGTCGTGAAACCTCCTCACAGTTCTTCTTGCTTTGCTGTACCTTCAACGATGTTTGATCGCTGGAAACATTTTTTATGAGTTTAGGATCTGTCTCTGATTTTCGAGGCATCCCAGTTCGATCATCGTTGTTTTTCTTGGATTTACCCTGTTGGGAGTGAATGGGTAGCACTTGCTTTTCGTTGCTGGTACAAGTTCTGTCTGTCTGCTCTTCCAGATCTAAACCAACACCCTCGTCAGAAGACAGAGGCTGTCTTGCTTTGGTTTTATTTTTGGTTTGCTTAGCAGCTTGAAGCCCTTGCACCACGTTTCGTAGTTCCGTCTTCAGCTGGGGGGAGCCGGAACCAAAGCTCTTGGAGAGGGAAGGCTCTCCCTTAGAGGTCTGTATTCTTGGCGAGGCCTTCTCCGTCGACCCCGCTGGTGACCTGGCTCCTTGCCCATATCCAGGTCTCGGACTGACTTTGGGCATATCGCCAGATGCCGACGGAGACTGGGTTTTACTGGTCGCTACCTCTGCTCTTGCCGGAGTCTTCTGAGGCAACAGTGATTCACCCTGTTTGTTACCCTGCTGGGTGGGCTTGCTAGTCCGAACACTCCCTTCTTTTGACGTACTGATACTCCTTCTTACACTGTCAGAAGATTGGACACTTCTAGCTTTCTGTTCAGACTTGGGGTCAGCGGTTTTTTTTGATGACCCTTGGCCTCCTAGCCGTCCAAACAGCAGTTTGGTTTCTGCACTCTTGCACTGATTAACAACACTGCTTACGCTGTTATCGCTGCTGGATTTTGCCAGACTGTCAGACTTGTTGACTGCTGTTTTATGTATCGTTTGTTCTTCTGTACTGGTCTTTCTTGACGAGCTACGGCTACTTCCCGAGCTGGACACAACTTTTGTACTGGAGTTCAACCGAATCGAATTAGACCCCTTTATACTTGCATTATCAACCTCTATCTTCTTCACCACACCTTTGTCCGTACTTTTACGCAGGTTCTCAGACTGATTGGTGACTGCTGTTCCATGTTTCGCTTTGTTCAATGTGACATGCTGAACATCTTTTTCAGATTGAGATTCAACTACCGTTTCGTGTTTCTTTCCATCAACAATTGGAGAAGCAGTTTTAGACGTATTTGCAGAAGGTAAAACAGACGTCTGATTTGAGGACTGTTTCTTATCTCTAGTCTTTTCAGAATTCACACCCGAGTCAAACTTTCTAGAGGTTGCTGCATTTTCTAATTTTCCTCCCGTGCCGAGTTCTCTAGTACTACTCATTTTACCGTGCACACTTGCTTTCGAACTGGCAGAACTGTCTGAACTGATCTTTCTTGCATTGTTTCCCAGACTTGAACTGGAAGGTTTAGATAAATTCTTGGCAGAATTGTGTGTCTCGACATTCGACGTTGGCTGCTGTTTCTTGGCAGTAGGAGCCGAGCGCACGTCAGAGTTTTCCACGACCAATGTTTTGGCCGAATGCAGCGATATTTCGGTCGTTGCTCGTACATCCATTCTCTTCGTAGCAGCCGTTTTCTGCGTACTCGACGGAGGTTTGGTGACTACGTTTCCAGTTCTTGCTTTGAAAGCAGAGTCTTTGACCCTGGTTGCGGAGGGCGTCATGTTAACTCCGAGACGATTCGTAACGAGACTTCTGATGGGTAGCTCTCCATCAGGTCGGGGCAGCAGGGGGCTTGGCGTTGACAGGGTGCTTGATGACGAGACGCTATTGGTCGTTCGTGACCCCTGACCCGAGTCGGTGGAGGCCTCCTTGTTTGGGTCCACGACGCGGGTGTCTTCGATGCTGAAGGCTTTACAGTGATTCAGAATGGACTTGGTCCTGGTCAGTGTCAGGTGATCGTTGTTAAAATTGCGCTCTCCCTTCCGATCCGGAGAGCTGCCGTGCGAAATTTGCGACTGCCCGTCTTCTGGCACTATGTCTTCGTCCTCGAACTCAAAAATGGTGGCCTGGATGTTCTCGGAGAATTGTGAGGGAGAGAGTGGCATGACGCTGCGTGACGTTGGGTTGAAGAGCTGCGTTGGATCCAGCATGGGGCTCGGGGTGCCCAGGCGAAGATGCATTTGTTCTAATTGGGAGATGGAGAGGGAGGAATTTTATGTTAGCTGTTATTTTCTCAAGGTGGCTTTGGCCTCAGCTTCATGTAAACAACAAAAAGAAACACTTTTGAAAATCAGGTGTGTATAAATTGTAACATCATTTACATGAACTGGTTCCAAACAATAATCTGCAGTCCATAAGGACACAAACTCCCATTTGACTTTAGTCTATAATATACTCAGGCATGCAACTGGGAATTTAGGGGGAAAAAGGAAATTCCAAACCACACAAGTCTTTGTACAGTGTTTTTCAATTTGTAATCGCATTCGTGACAAACAAAAAACAAGGAACTGAGCGGATCCGAGGAAAAGTTTCATGCCTGTATACTAAATCGGAACATTTAAGAATTGCTGTTAGTATTAGCTTTCACTAGGGTTATAGTCCCAAAAATTCATTATCGATAAAGGGTGTAACCAAATATTAACCCATTAGTCCTTGTAGATGTTGTACCACCCTAAGGAGCCCCAGCAACTATGGTTTTCTGGATTCATTTGGGAGTTATACACAATGTAGTACAATGTAATACAATGTGTACATTCTGCAACACACATTTCAACTGAAAGACGTAAGACAGGTTCTGCGACTGGGATGAATATGTGGAGTCGCCTTACCTAGATTCAGATGGTGAATCTGCATGTTGGACCGGAAGGGAACTCTCTTTGGAGGCGGGGTACTAGACTCGTCATCCAGGCTTATCGTGCTGCTAGAGCTCCCGACTGATTTGGGGTATTTTATTCCTGAAACAAAATATAGGGATTTGATGTTAAAACAAGCCTTTTCAATGGGAACTGTGTAAGGCCAAATAAAAAAAAACATGTTTAGCATCCTGCCTTTTGGAAAAAAAGGAAGGGGGATCGAGGCCCCCACCCCCTTTTTTTCTTCCAGACTGACTAAATGACTGACTGACTGACTGGCTGACTCCCCGACGGACAGACTGACTGACTAACAGATCCACTGGTGGTAGGCTGGTAAAGAGAGCCGGGCAGTGTTATCTTATAGGATTACCCCATAATGCCAATGAATGGGCTAAACTGGGCCCATTGTGCAGACCAGATGCATGAAAAAGACTTCAAGTGAACAGTCATTGTGAATCAAATGAATAGAGTTTTGTGGACTCTGACTTAGACTGGTCTGGGACTAATACTGGGCTTACAATATTTTATTTTAGGACCCGTCTCAATTCATATATACGGGGCGAGTTCCGGACAAGTTGCGTACATTGTATGGGGTATAAGTTGCAGGATTCTGAACAACTTCCCTGCAATCTTCCCGCAATGAAGTTATCAGTATTGATGAGTTAAGCAGTTGCTGATGAAAATTTCCCCGGAACATGTCCGGGACAAATGCAAAATTCTTCCAGACAAAGTGAATGATTCTACCTGCAACTTGTGTCCGGATCTCGTCCCAGATGTGAATTGAGACGGGCCCTTACCTTTCCTAAAGTAGTCCATGCAAGCCCCCGTTAGGTCCTGCACGCTGGGGTTGGAGCCCCTTCTCCCTGCCGAGGGTCGTCTCTCTGTGGGTGGGGTCGGGTTCACTGAGGCGTCCACCCTGTCCTGACGACGTCGCTCGAGAAACGGAGCAATGGGCCCAGACACTAACCTCTGAAATCTGGTTAAGGCAAAAATATCACAGACTTGTAGGTACCAGAACAGTCAAACGGAAACTTTCTTTAAGATTCGTTGTCTTTATTGAGACTTTGTAGGTTTGCATGGTGGATATGAACAAAGTATGGAAGGTTTGCGGTAACACCATGTGAAAAACATCTCGTTTGAGTTTCAAACAGTGTGCCCTGTTCGACATTAGGAGACAGTCTCATGATGACGAACAGAGCATACCGTTTGAAATGTTGAGTTGAAACGACTGGTTCTTCCCAGAACCACACAACTTTGGTTTTAATTGAATACATTCAATTTCTGAACAATATAGCTGCAATTACTTTCCGCATTATTGAAATCTGATATTTGAAGTTAGGTGAAGTCTTAGTTTGGAGTCCAAAAGATTAGTATCATTTGCCAAAATAGTCAAAAAAAGGTAAAAATAATAGTGGAAAATTTTCAATTTTTTTTTTTTTTAGTGGTGTCTGAAGTGGCTGCTAAGCTGATATCAAAATAGAACAAAATCTCAAAATACGTGCCCCCCCCCCCCAAAAAAATGATAGTTTTCAAAAGATGAAAACGTCCAAAACAGCTTAAGTCTGTCTGATACCAAGTGTTCAAAATGGCTGGCATCAGCGTCCAAAATACAGGTAGTACCTCTAGATATGTCCACAAAAGTAAATACCAGCATTTGAAATAATTAAAATTTGTACGCGAATATCACTAGGTTTATTTGATAATCCTACCGTATATCTCGCAGGTTTTCGTCCAGATCTAGGCCTACCACCGTGACAGGAACCTGCGGTGTGTCAGTGGTTACCTTGGAAACAACCGGATCAGCTGGACCAAAACGTAAGGGAAAGAACCAATTTGTTAATTTTACACAGAATAGAGATTTGGTACTAAATTTTCAATGTTGTATTGACACATTTTGTGATCACTTACAATTTCTCTGGCTGACTTTGGCGTGTGCCTTTGCTCTCTGGTTCCTAAGCTCCGTGGCGCTTTCTCCACTCGGTACAGTGTTGGTGCGTAACCGGCAACCAAACAGGGACCTGACCAATTATGAAAAAAAAAATCAGATAAGTGCTACCAACAAATTATATTGGGGGAATTCATTACAATACATTTGAATCTGTTTTACTGAATAGAACGTTTTTTTTTAATTTGTGAATATTGAAATGAAAATTGGTATCTGCTACCAGTAAATCCCATGCTTCATTTGACATGCTTCATTTGACATGAATTGTTGACTGCTGCGATGAAATTGTGCGATGTGGGAAGTGACGTTTTGAACACCCGATAGCACCCGAGGCGAATTTGTTATACCTCTATCTGGGATTCTTTGGATTCTGATGTAAAAATCCCAAAACAAACAACAGTAAATACCACAATCATGACAATTGAACGTCACTCACATGCATGCCGCGTGCTCAAAACAGCTAATCGTCTACAAGTTCATGTGTGAAAATATGGTGAAAACAGTGGGGGTACCAACGATACAAGTGTCTCACACGTACGTACAAAGTCATAGCACACTCCCTGATAGATATCACGTACTAACGCGACATGTGATATTCCACATGTCCAATAGGGAGCGTGCCGTGACTTTGAATAAACTTAACATGTGATCGTTCCAGGCCAATGGGAAAACGGTATCCAAGACAGAGGTATAACAATGTAAGTTGGCACTATGGAGTGCCTCCTGTGTCAAAAATTTACCTGGCCGTCTTTTTGCTCTTCTCTGGGGAGGCGGCAGGTGAGGAGGAATTGGATCCATGATCCAAGACGCGAGGGGTCTTGGGAGGGACGGGCAGCTTGCCTGGTGAGGTGCTGTTCCTGGAGGAGGCTCTGGGAAGACCCAGCTTACGAGGAGATGAGCTGAGGAGAAAAAAACCAAATAATGCATAGTAGGTTTCAGGGGTGCAGTCGACTCCATCACAAGTCCAGTCGCAAGTAAATCACGATTCCTGTCACAAGTGCGGTCACAAGAAACCGTGGATGAACAATAAGAAAGAAATGCCTTTGTCGAAGCTCATTTGAATAGCTTGTGAGTTGAATTGGGACTGGAGGACTTTTGATGGACTTGCAGGGACTTGCGACGGTCTCAACTACATCTCAGCTCAGTTTAGAAAAGAAACTCACTAAGAGTGGGTGTTAGAACCTTCAGAATATGGAAGTGGTGCTCTATCCAAGACACTGTGACCAGAGCTCTACCAACTGAGCTGCACAGTCCCATGTTGGCATTCTCCTGACTTTTTCAACAGCTATTCTACAACAGACCTAGTCAACAGCCCTAAACGTGAGTCATTTTTTGTCGTTAGCAACAAAACTTTAACATTCGGAGGCTTGGAATCAATACTTGGGAATGAAATTATAAGAATTATCTGGGACGTCTTTTGGTCACCCCTTTATTCCCATTTAAGACACCCAATTTTTGTAATGCAAAGTTGTATACAAGCATAAAGCTTCAACAAGTTTGAAACCTTTTTGTTTCCCAATTCAAGACAAATTTTAACACCCAATAGTCTACTGCTGACTGCAACCCTAATGCAAAACCCCATGGGCCTTGTGTGATAACCCAGAATAGATGATAGTATTACTGGATGTGTACGCCTGGCTCAATGTTAAACTGTGGCAGCTGTGCGGCATTTGTATGGGTCTACCGGCGAAAACTAAAAAATACCTTGGAGTGAAGCGTCCGCTTTCGATATCTCGCAGCATCTGTTCCTCGGCCAGCATGGCTTTATGGGCCTCAGTCATCTTATGGATGATGCGTTCTGTCAGAGAGAAAACCAAGACATCCACAGCATAATTACTACAGCTTGTGGTGCAACGTCTTGTCTCCCAAAATATGACCAGAATCGGAATGATGAATGCGTTTAAGTTTTTCAAATGTTCCATAAATTCTAAAGGCTTCACATTTTTCAAGTGTTCCATTTGTAAAACAATTTTCTAAGTGTTTCAAAAGTTCCAGCTTTTTTTCAAAGGTTCCAGCACTGCAAAGTGTTCAGAGTTTTCCAAGAGTAACAAGTGTTTGGAAGTGATTGGAAAAGCTTTCAGCTGTGACAAGCGTTCCTTGTGTAATGTGTTTGGAAGTGTTTTCAAATGTTCCAGCAATGTAAAATGGCTAAGTGTTCCAAGATCAATAAGTGTTTGAGGGTGTTTTCAAATGTTCCAGCATTGCCAAGAATTGAAAGAGCAATGTGTTTGGAAGTGTTTTTAAATGTTCCAGCAATGCAACATGTCACAGTGTTCCAAGAGTAACAAGTGTTTGGAAGTGTTTTCAAATGTTCCAGCACTGCCAAGTGTTCGAAGTATTCAAAGTGTAACAACTGCTTCAAAGTGTTATAATTTAAACACTTTGAAGAGTTCCAAGCGTTACTTACTTTCCGGTGTGAAGTTCATGGAGGATCCGGGCCGTGGGGTACTGCCAATAGATTCCTGGGTCATTCTGTCCTCCCCTCCCAGCCCTCGATGCTCTGCCATACGGGACGGCGGTTTGACTGGGGTGAGGACCAGGTCCCGTTTGGCTTGCGTTGCCTCCGTCCACGCATCTACGTGCACAAACAGAAATGTGACATTTAACAATCCGTGAAATCTTGCATTACAATTTTCCTGTTAAAAACCGAATCTCTATTTGCAGTAGCTGGTTCTGTATCAGATTCGAACCAGCCAGCTGACCCTGGCATGTTTGGTGGTAGAGTGGTAAGACATCTGCACTAGCAAGCAGGAGAACGTGGGTTCGAGTCCCACCTGAATTAGCTTGTGATTTTTTTTCCTCACAAGCGGCAACCCCTCCCTCAGACAGCACAGCACGGCACAGGGTACGCTTATGAAATTTCATCGACAAAACGCAACAATCCAATGTTGACCGAGCACGCCGTGGGTTCGAGTCCCACCCAAGCTTGAGATTTTTTTAAATTCTTCACGAGCCCTTGGACGGCACCGAGCATACAGCACTTGAAATTACATTTTTGAAAGGCAAAACATAATGAATAAACTCACCTCGTAGGGTATGTTTGAGCTTCTTCGTCTTGGCCAAATCGACCGGCGTGTTCCCGCTGTCGTCTACCAATGTCACGTCTGCGCCGTGGTTCAGCAGCTTGGTGGCTGCTTGCAGCTGACCATAGCATGCCTGAAAATAAATATGTATTTTTTTTTCAGTTTTCTGAGTAGGTCAAGACTTTTAGAGGATTCAGAATAGTGTGCAGCCAAACAAAGTGCAAAAAAACCCAAAAAGTCAGGGGCTTCACGGAGAGCTGAACAAAAGGCCAGCGGAGAACCAGTCAAAACTAATGTACATCACATGGTATTTGGGCCGGTAAACTAATTTTCTGTTTGCAAAGTATTGTGTGAAAAAAGAAGAAGTAAAGTCTGTCACGAGCCAATGTGGCCCATCCAGGCTGGCGTTTATCTCCGGTTTTAGTTGCATGAAACGACTGAGAATATTTGTACTCCCCCGGGACGGGATGCTAGTCCATCGCAGGTTACTCCCCAGCTAATGCCCATGCCCATTTATACTCCTGGGTGGAGAGAGGTATTAAAGTATTCTATGTACATGTACTTACTTACATAAAACTGTGCTTAGGAGGTTTCTATAATTGGCCTTAAAGAGTGTCAATAAAGGCCTGTAAAAAATACGTCAGTGAGGAGCGAAACTCAATATTGAGTTGCCAACTCCTAAATGCAAATTCCATGTTATAAATAGCCTGTACAGATAGTTTTTAGTGGGGAGTGTGGCCTAGTCGTTAGGGTTCGTGACTCATGATCAGAGGGTCAGCGGTTCAAATCTAGCTGCTGGCCATATGTTGTGTCCTTGGGCAAGCCACTTTACCCACACTTGCCTCTCTCCACCCAGGAGTATAAATGGCCACGGGCATTAGCTGGGCAGAAACCTTTGGACTAACCTCCCATCCAGAAAGTAGAAAAATTCAAAGTCCTTTCATGCTACTGAAACCAGAGATAAACGCTGGCCTGATGGGCCATACTGGCTTGTGACAGACTTTTTTTCACAGATGGTCTTGAGACAAGACGCAAAATCGAAGCTTAAACACAGCCGGGTTTCAGAAATACCCATAGGATAAACAATAAAAACTCACCGTTATATGAAGCGGTGTGGCCCCTGCATAGCCCCGTGCGTTGACGTCCGCTCCGCTATCCAGTAGCGCTACCAGTATCTCCACCTGCCCGCTCTGCGAGGCCGAGTGGATGGGCGCCAGTGATCGCCGGTCCCTCATCTCCAAGATGGCCGGATCGCTGATCAGGACTAACGCAATCTCCTGCGAGACCTTGGCCTTGGAGGCGGCGGCAAAGTGGAGCGGGGTTCGGCCCTCCGCGTCGTGAGTGGTCAGGTCCGCCCGGTGGAGGAGCAGCTCTCGCACTACGGCCTGCGGGTTGTAGTGCTCCAGTGCGGCACCGACTGCAGAGAAAACGTGAGAGATACTTATAAGTCTCGCTCAAATGACAGCATTTCCTACAGCCCATCCACGTGCATCGGCATTTTGAGCGTCAACTTGCATTAACCCGCATCAGCTGCGTCGTATTTTGAACACATTTGAAGCAACAAGCGCGCGTTTGGGACATTTTCAACACTGCGCAATATGCTTGATTGCGTAAAATACGTAGTTCCAGTTCTCCAACAGAGATGGCCGTCATTGAGCGAGCCCTAAAAATATGACATTACACTTAGAGGTTTGTCAAACCATGGTTTCAACGGCAGCGTTGGCTTCAGGCTTTGGTTCCATGACTTTGGAGACGGAGTTTAAGTATGAGGTCCAATTTTTGGCACTTCATTCAAGTCAGAGTGAAATACATTAAAGAGGTGTCATTTGGAATGAGGATTAATTGCTCCTTAACCTTGTGGGAGCCAGAGATGACGCTGGAGATGGCGACAAAGCAAATTTTTGAAGAAAAGGCCTAAGGGAGTATGTAAGAAAAGATATCGTCTCCAAGTTCATAATGATCTTTTTTTCCTTTGCATTTTGCTAACAATTTTAAATCAGTGTGGTTGGTGGGTTTAAATTTGGCTTTCATTTTTCAGTTTTTTTTGTTAGTCAACCATTTCTAAAGTTTCTTTCAAATAATGCATAATATGAAAGCCAAATGGTTTTATTCAAATTCAATTTCTAATACTTTATGCAGAAAGGCAATGTTGTTCTCCATTTAGGTGACTATCATGGCACGAATGCTACAGATCGTCAGCCTTACTTACTCTGCTCAAATAGATCCACGTCCCTGGTAACCAATAGCAACGGTGTGTAGCCATCAGCGTTACGACAGTTGATGTCCAACACTTTACTCTCATTCTAAAAAATTAAAAATAAAAAGACATGCAATATATGATTATTTTCAGAAATAATATGTTGCTTCTCAAATATGAGCAGTTTGGTCAAGATTTTACTCGGGTGTTTACTCAGATGTTTCTTCCGGTTTTCTTCTGCACAATCTATTTTTAATTAACCACTTTCTTTTTCTTGTTATCAATATTAGAGTGTTCTATATATTTGTGGAGCACTTTGGTCCAATGGTTACGGTGTTCGACTCGCGTGCCGTGGTACAGTACGTGGATTTGAACCCTGACAGTGATCATGGTGCTTGTGTTCTTGGGCAAGACACTTGCTACAATTGCCTCTCTCCACCCAGGAGTACAAATGGGTACCTGTGAAGGTAGAGACCAGATTGCGCTGATCTCGAGCTGCTGCAAAAACTGGTCTCATAGCCTGATGAACAGGGGTAATAATGGTAAAGCGCTTTGAGACCGTTGGTTTTTAAGCGCTATATAAGCAAATTATTATTATTATGTACAAAGAAGTTGACAGGAGCTAAAGACTTCTGGAACACTTGGTTCTTGGTTGGTTCTTCTCCTAAATACTCCACGTGGGAGTTTATACAGGAGGCCAGAAACACCGGGGCAAACCGGTGTTCCAACTACAGCTATCCAACACTAAATGGGTGATCTCCCAAATCGATGCCAATGCCAAGTAAGACCCGTTTTTTTCTTTAAAATACCGTCTGAAACCATCAGACCCAATCATGATCTATCTACGATCCTTCATACTCACTAATAATCGTTGGACCACGTCAATGTTCCCCTGCCAGGCGGCTTGCAGCAGGTGCCGGGGCGTGCACCCGACCCTCTCCACCGACTGCAGCAGGGCGGTTCGAATCCCCGGCTTGGCCACCTCCATGGCCGTCTCGTTGTCGTAGTTACGGATGGTGACGTCGGCGCCGTACTTCAGCAGGAGTTGGACTATCTTCAGGTGGCCGTTCTTGGCCGCCCACAGGATCGGGGTGTTGCCAGTTCGCTTCTCCTTCACGTCAATATTCACAATCTGGTAAAAAAAAATTAAAAATTTACAATAAAGTGAAACACACAGGGTACATTTTCGGAACTTCTGTTTCTGAGAGCTAGGTTAACATCCAACAACCAAGTTCATCACAAGCCAACCAGTCCCTACCGGTATGTTAAAGGTACAAAGACTAGTTGCTTTGTTTGCATTTTTCTTTCATTTGAAGCCAAAAAATTGCTCACAATCTTAAAAAGGGTGCATGACAACTAACATGTTGAAGTCTCAGCTCAGTGGAACTCTACATTTTGAGAAAAGACAGATAAAACATATGCACTAATTTGGGGTCTTGTACCGTAACTGGAGTTCGTTGCAAATGCACGTTAAAACAAAACTATGCCACAGGCACACTTCTTTAACCATCTTAAAATGACTGTTTTCTTCCGAATAATACCATTTCAGATCAGATAATTTTACAGGGAATTGAAATAATTTTACAGGGTTTTGGCATTAGTCAGTCCTATCTGCACTCTGAGAAAGCATTTTCTCATTTAATAGGTATGTTTCTGGGTAAGTGCAAATGTTCCTACGTGGTCTCAAGACAAATGATAGTCAACTTAACAGCTATGATGGCATTTCTTTGCAACTTTCCACCCCCATTACTTAAAGCTATTGTCCATCATTTGCAGCTATCCGAAAAGTAACTGGCGTAATTATTGTTGAAAAACATACTTAGTTGAAAGATAGCAAGGGGACTAAACTCCCTGCGAAATTATTCGTTCTGACAAGCTGTCAGTTTGAAGTAATCAACGAAAGAAGGCCTTTCCAACGGTGCTTCTTAAGACGCACCGTAGGAAATTTAAATTAGTAATTTGTTTTGTTATTCGGCGAAGCGCGCGCAAGCATTGACACCACGCACACGCACTTGCTATAATTCGTAGGATCAGTGCGCGACATCGCGTAGCTGCAATCAGCTCAGTGAGAACGTGTCTCGGATGCTGAATGCAGGCCCAATTCAAAACATGATTCAGCAACTTTTGACTTGAAATTAACATCCTAGAATGCTGTTTTTCTCGGAATATACAGCTGAAGCTGAGCTGAAACTTCATCAGGTTAGTTGTTCAGTACCCTTCTTAAGATTTTGAGCGCTTTTGTTGCTTCAAACGAACAAAATGCACAAATTACAAATGATGGACTATATCTTTAAGACCTAACTTGTGACTGGACTTGTGACGGACTCGACTCAAAACACAGGATGAAAACAGAGGGAGTATAATCTGACTAACCTCGCTACTCCTCCTGCGAAGGAAGTTCTCCACCCGCTCGTAGTCGCCGTCCTTGGCCGCGGCCAGGAAGAGATTCTCCACATCCTGGGCGTGGCCTGGGTTGAAGATCTGCATGGCAAAGTCGTGGTAGGTCTTGAGTAAGGTGCGGTTGCGGTAGGAGCCCGCGGAGCTGGTGGTGCTGCTTGTCGTGCTGCCGGAGGAGTCACTGGCGGCTGAGGAGGGACGGCCAGAGAGCGGGGCCGAGGAGGACGCCCTCGCATGGGCTACAAGAGAGAGGACCGGACAAATAACTTGGAAGCATTTCTTATAACAAAGACGCAAACATTATAGCACTGTAACAAAAAACACACTGAGAACAGTACTAATCTTTTTTTTTCTTCAAATTTTTGAGATCTTAGAAAGAGTTTATTTCCAAAAACGCGATTTGAAAAAAAAAGGTGAAATTTTGCACATTTATCAAAACGGTACAACAGCTGTTGCTAAACTTCATTTTTCGATATACGGGTATTGTCTTCTGTATTTAACATGTTTAACAACACAACCCGTCAAGACTGACTTTGGGCAGCCTGGAGCCAGCGGGGTTTTAAAAGGGAACAAAAACGACGTTTACGGTGTTTTGAAAATGATGTCAAGTCAAAAGAACTGATCAGTGATCTACAGTGCTCAATCTCAAACAATAACCAACTAGAAATGGTGCTCAAAAACATTATGTGCTAAGTGAAAATAAGCCTGTGCTTGTGCTTAGCATTAAGGCTTAAAGGCCACATGACATGGCCCGTCTGGATTTTCGCTAAGAAGAAACAAAAAGAGAATGGATTTGGAACATTTATCTACATACCTGGCCTGGGTCCGGGCCGGGGGCTGGACCTGAGCAAGTCAGCAGACATGCCGAACAGCGCCCTCGCGTGTCACTTCAGGAAAGACGTGGACGGACGGGGAGAGTGGACGGAGCATCGGTGACGCCATGGTGGGAAGACTGCAGAGGAGCCTGCATGGGTTGGCCGGAAGACCTGCGCAAATCAAACAGACAGCACCATTGTATTTTAAAGCTATAGTCCATCATTTGCAGCCATCCGAAAAGTAACTGGCGTAATTATTGTTGAAAAACAAACTTGGTTGAAAGATAGTAAGGAAACTAAACTCCCTGTGAAATTATTCTTTCTGGGAAGCTGTCATTTTGAAGTAATCAACGAAAGAAGGCATTTCCAACGGTGATTCTTAAGAAGCACCGTAAGAAAATTTAAATTAGTAGTTCGTTTTGTTATTCGGCGCAGCGCGCACAAGTATTGGAACGACGCACACGCGCGCGCGGTTGTTATAATTCGTCGGATCAGTGCGCGACGTCGCGTATAGCTGCAATTCAAAACAATTCAAAACATGATTCAGTAACTTTTGATTTGAAATTGAGATCTTAGAATGCTGCTTTTCTCGGAATGTACAGCTGAAGCTTAGCTGAAACTTCATCAGGTTAGTTGTTCAGTATCCTTCATTAGATTTTGAACTCTTTTGTTGCTTCAAACGAACAAAATGCACAAATTACAAATGATGGACTGTAGCTTTTTAAGTTAACTGTGCGATTCATGACCGTTTCTGCCGTACTCGTTGCGTGAAGGGCTGTAGCATTCTTCAGTGTGTAGTGGTCCAGGTTTTTTTCCAAGATCAAAAACGCGGTCTCGTCTCGATCGACCAAGTCACAACATATGCACCCGTGGATTGGTCACGTTACAAATACGATGCACAGAATTAGTGTAAACAAACATGCCAAAGGCGGTGTTTTTATTTAAATATCTGCCAGAATTCTCCAAAAACCTTTCATCCACTGAGCATTAAAAAGGAATGGCAGTTTGTTTTTTTTGTAATGTCAGCTTTCAAGCGACATCAAGCCTTATGTAACGTGGCTGGGCTCTTCCTTCGTTTATCTTTCAAAATTCTCCAAACCTTCCTGGTGTATGCTGGAGCATCTGGAAAAGGTTGCAGTTAAAAAGGAAAAGAAAACTGCAATGTCATTTGGAATAACACAGAGTCATTGCGATCACATTGACGTACATGTAGCAGCTTGCACTGGTCTCAGCCTAGATGTAACGTAAAGCATCCGACACGAAAATGACATGAATCTGTATACTAATATCTCTCCATCTCATTTCTTAAGGCCAAAAAAAAAAGTCTCCGGTTTCTGGTATGCGCGCGCGTCGCCGTAGCCATGCGCGTCGGCAAAATGATAAAGTTTTTTTTTCAATGAAAGATGATGTCTCAAAACCGCCAAACTCACTGGTTTGACTGGAATCCTGCTGCTGCACAATTTTAACGTGTTTTTAGATTGGGTTATGGTCGAGAAATAAGCTTTATGTGGCCTCTCTGGACTCTCATATATTTGCACGAAGTTTAGTCGGGCACCATTTGCAGTCATCAGCCGACATTTGAAGCAAAAAAAAAAGGTAAAAAAAAAAAAAAGCCGCGTCGCCGCACCACTTTTTAGGCAAGCTCCATACCAGAAACCGGAGCCTTTTTTTTTTTTGGCCTTATTCCCGTTCATACATTTCTCATCACCTTCGTACCCATCGACACCAGACGACAAAGCAGCTTTCCTGTCCCCCAGTACTGCTCCCATCTCATTACCACCCCCCCCCCACTGCCACCCCCCCCCCCCCATCATCACCCTCTCTCTATCCTTTGTTCTCCTCATCCTTTCCCCGCATCACCGCCTCACCAATCAACGATGTGGCAATAGCACTCAGAGCATCACTTGAGTTTGCTCCAAGAGCCGACACGTGGCTGGCCAGACGCTCGCCGTTGTAACGAGGTTGGCGTGTCTTTGTTTGGGTCCAGAGCGATTTGCTTTGTCATGGTAAACGGAGCTGTGCTGGTTTGATGAAGCAGCGGCGTCTTTTTAATAATTGACGAGTATGCATCAGCTAATCATGCTAATTGCCAAATAATTTGTCATAACTAGCAAGGGACCTGTGATGCAGGAATTTTGTGTGTGGATACATCACCGGTATCACTCCTCAAGTTGTAAAATGTGGAAATGTGCACACAAGTTTGCCACGATACTGAAACATTACATGTATTTTTTGTTTTAGTAAATGTACTTAAATGTACGTACATGTATAGTATTGTGCATAATGTACGGTACATAAAAAGTTTTAATTTAAATATTATGAAAAGAATCCAGAAAAAGTTGGAAAAACAAAGTGGAGAATCATTACAATATTCACTAGGGCCTATACGTACTGGTACAAAATATTGTATTATCCTATTACAATTCACACCGGTATCCATGTAGTAAAATAACAAGCTTTATACACTGTGTTATACAAATGTATACATTGTAATGATTTAAAACAAACTGGGTGAATTGCGAACAAATTACACTGAAAAAAAAAAACAACACTAAACCTGATAAATGATATCCAGGAAAGTTAGAAATCCAATACATTAAAACAAAATTGCAAGTACTGAAAAAAATACACATAAAATAGTGAAGTCTACATACCAGTATTTGTGCACGTTGAGAAAGTTACACAAAGGCCCCCCCAAAAAAGTCTCCGGTTTCTGGTACGGCGCTTGCCCAAAAAGTGGTGCGGCGACGCGGCTTTTTAAAATTTTTACCTGATTTTTTTTGCTTCAAATGTCGGCTGATGACTGCAAATGGTGCCCGACTAAACTTAGTGCAAATATATGGGTGTCCAGAGAGGCCACATAAAGCTTATTCTCAACCATAACCCAATCTAAAAACACGTTAAAATTGTGCAGCAGCAGGATTCCAGTCAAACCAGTGAGTTTGGCGGTTTTGAGACATCATCTTTCATTGAAAAAAAAACTTTTTCATTTTGCCAACGCGCATGGCTACGGCGACGCGCGTGCATACCAGAAACCGGAGACTTTTGGGGGGGGGGGGGCCCCTAATGTACTTGAACATTTACTACATGTACCGGTAACTACTGACAAAAAAGTGCTTGAAAAAAAATTAACAAAATATCTTGATGAACCTACCGGTACTAGTCAAATTAAGCTTCTCTGTTGAGAACACCAGTCAAAAGTACCACCAATTCTTGCAGGAACTGTACACGTATGTTTTAATATATGTACAAGAGCCAACATCAGATGCACCGACCAAGTCACCCATGAAGCATACATGTACCATACTATACCATACCAGTATCATACCATAATAATACCAGTAACACGTAGCATCTACATCACTCAATAGCACCACTGCCAGAAATACATGTTTAAGCGCCCATGTGCTGGCTACATGTAGACATCAGGCCAACCGGTATGCACATTAATTATGTACAATGCCTACATGTAGTACTGCACTCTTTCTCTACGGTGTAACAGATAGGCCTACCCCACACGCATGAAACTCTACAGCGCAGTAACGCAGGAAATATAAATTCCGCGCCATTTGGTGCGGATTGATCGTTAGCTTAGACCAGACAGACATTAATTATGAGATGAGCTCTGGAATGTTCCATTATGATTGATAGGGGTGCACTTAGTACACATGTGTAGACGCACCATCGTTCTGAATTTGAACACAAAGAATCATATAAAATAAATGTGTAAAGAATGGCTAAATTCTTTTGGTGACACGATGCTTTAAAAATGAATGTTTTTGTTTCACAGGGATGCAAAAGAACTACCACTAGTACCAGTAACTCACTGATAAAAAATCAACACAAGATTGCCAAAGGCTGTTTATGTACAATTCTCAAGTACTGGTAGTACATTTTTTATTGTCACTGTACAGTGTGTGCTGTAATGAGATCATTAAACTGTGCGGCCAAATGGTCAAGTGAACAGATGACATTTAATTACACTGTCAAATTATGCTAATCTCCTCATAAAAATGCGCAACACTTCAAAGCAGTCACTGAGGACAAAAGACGCTGCGGTGACTACTGGGAATTACAAATTAAGTCACAAAGGATGCCCCATACATGTAGTAATGATACAGGTGTATACCCTGGAAGGAATGTTCCATTGGCACTACAGGGGTGTGACCAATTAGTTGGGTGGTGTGACGAATCAGCATGTACATTGTACATAAGTAAATAAGAATATAACATTTTATGTGTGTATGTTACAATTGTAAAATGCGTACATTGTACCTGATACATTTTTGAAGTAAAAGATATTTTAAAAATGCAAAATTCTTTCATGATTTGTACGGCATAGATATTTTTGACAGATCTACCGTGGGGGGGGGGGGGGGGGGGGGGGCCGGGGGGGTGTCTTACACATGTATCCCCGCTCTTGGGCTGCAAAAAAAATATAAAAATCAGGCAGAAAAAAAAACATCTGCCAGATAACAACCCCAGCTTCCCCCTCCCATCCCCAACTGACCCATCGCTAAAAGATGATCTTTGAATACTTGAATTTTGGTGGAAAACAATAATCAAACATGTGTACACTGTACCGGTAGATGCCAAGTCTCGAAGAATATTTTACACATTTTCTTTCGGATTTTTACCAATGTCAAGACCTGGAGTTACATTAAAACGTTATTCTCAACTCGGTGGCTTCTCAAGAAAATGAATTTATTCTGGGTCGGAAATTTGTAAGTTTTTATAACAGTCTACTAGGCCTATTATCTGGATTGCAAAGTGTGACATTTTTCCTGTTTTACCTCAAGTGGTACTTTGTAATTTGCCAATCAAGTATCAATAAGAATGACTTCAAACATTTTTTTATTTGTTGAGTTGGTAGTTGCTGAACTCTTGGGGGATAATTGCATTAAGAAGTGCATCAGAATTATTAAATTCTAAATTTCAGATGTAACAGGGACAAAAAAAAGAAATAGAAGCCCAAATTTATTGAATGGCCTATGTATTCCCCTAGTAAAGGGAGGCATGTAGAAGACACGTACAAAGTTGTGCAATTTAAACAGCTACTGATCATGATACTGGTACATGTACAGTACAGGCCATGATGCGATCATCAGAGCAGAAAACTCTTTTGTTCAGGTTGTTGTGGCAAGTTTCACAACACAAACTTGGCTGACTGC